TTCTGTGTGAACAAACATTAGTCTGTCTTATTGCCCACAATTTCATGTTTTGATAGTTTCATAAAGAGACATAACTTCTGTTTAATGTAGCTTTTATACAGCTTTCCAAAGATACAAACCTTTCATGTTTAATTTTTTTCCTAAAATGGCACGAAGAATTTGGCACACATCTTTTAGCTTTTTGTTTAATACCCATCAACTGCTCAGAAAATTTGAGAAATTTTATCCTTGTACTAAAAGTTGATACGTGTGTTTGACAAATTTTTACTTAGCTAGGTACTGTTTTAGCGTAATTTTTACTGCCTAAAGAAATGATTTGCTGAGGTATTTGAATTTCTTGATGAAATAAATTATTTGGGAAATAGTATTTTGTAGTTAATCTGGAGAAGTGTTTTCATTTCTATATTGGGAAAACCCTTTATGTCAGGTCATTTGAAAACTCTTAAATATGTCAGTGTGGTTTTTTCCTGTATGATATAATTGTACTGTAGTCCATCTTAGTTGATTCAGAAGTTGTGAGAAGCAGGGCTAATTAATATTGTCAGTATGGCCTGATTGGTGGCAGGCCAAGGTGGCTTTTTAAAAATTTGAAAGTTCATTTTGCTATTTGCTTTATGTTTTAGCAAAACTGATAAACTGAGCAAGTGGAGTAATGTACTTTGTTAATGTATTACATTTGTTCTGAAGAAGAACTCATTGTTTGCTTACATTTTATTATTTGTACAAAGTTCTGTGAGTAGAATTATTGGTTCAAAGAGTAAGCACATTTTAGGCTTTTGATAATAGGTATATTGCCAAATTAGCATCATAGATAGCTGTGCCACTTTAAATTCCACAAAGTGAAATAATATTTGTTATGTCTCATTACTTCTTGCCTTTATTCGGTGCTACTAAAAACAAATCTTTGTGCTATTTTAGATGAAACCTTGTATCTTACTTAAATTTTTTATTTTTAAAATTAATAACAGAAACAAAACATTTTAAATGTTTCTTTTCCAGTTATCTTTTATGATTTTACTTTTGTCTTTAGCCTTTTTCTACAGGTCTATTTATTGAGTTAAAATTATTCCATAGTTGTTTTTTTTTTCCCTGTTTTATCTTTTATCACAGGAAAGGTTGAAAGAGCCATGGTAGCAAAAAATAAGAAACAAAGGTCAAAAAAATGTCATTCGGCTCGGCGCCTATAGCTCAACCGGCTAGGGCGCCAGCCACGTACACCTAAGGTGGCGGGTTCGAATCCCCAGCCC